AGATCTGTACCTTTAGCCAGCTTTATTCATTTCATCCACTCTTACCCACGGCTCCTGCCATTTTCCCATCTGTTCTCTAGCCACGAGTTTGATTATTTTTAGCTTCCACCTATCAGCAAGGTCATATAGTATTTGCCTTTCTCCATCTGGTTTATTTGACTTAGCATGATGTGTTCAAGTTTCGACCATGTTGTCACCAACGGCAGGATGACCTTTTATCTGGCTGAGTAATATTTCACCGCACAAACAATGATCAAGATGACCTGTTTAACTGCAGTAATCATATAATTAATCAAATAAACATGTTCCAACTCCAGGAAGGGACATAATGACTGTCCAGTTGGGCAGTTCCTCACTGGCCGGTCCTCCATCTCCCCCAAGCCCCATGGCTGCACTAAGGTCTAGCCCTGGCTGGCCCCCATCCCTTTCTGACAGTGCACTGGCCACAGCACCAAGGTCCTGGCCTTTCCAGTCCCAGTGATGCTGGGGGCCATACCTCCCCCCAGGCCCACTTGTTCCTTACTGGACCACCCCCCACCTACATTCCCACTGGCGTTCTCAAGGGTCCACATACGAATTCTGCAAAACCAAAGGCGGACTTATGATTGCCTCCAGCCCACACCAGCAGCAGTACCAAACCCCCGACGACATCGGCCTGATTCCTCACTACAGTGGAAGAGGGCTCAGGCCTTCTTACACGCAGGTCTTTAAACCGTCTCGAATTAACTTCGTGTACGGTGCGAGACAGTGGCCTCGTTCATTCCTTTGCATGTGGCTGTCCTGTTTTCTCAGCACCGCTTGTTGACCAGTGTCCTTTCTCCACTCTTGGCTCCTTAGGATGAGCTGGCTCCTCCCAGCCTGCTCCTGGGAGGCCCTTTCTGTTTCACTAACAAAACAACCACGCTAGAATAAAATGCTCAATCTGGATCAAGGTATCAAAAGAATGGACTTCACAACACGAAGTCACCTCCAGATATGAATTTCTCTTCCCCTCCACCCTCCACCCTCAGCTCTGCCAGGGCGGTCGGTGCATTTGCCCGCGGCCGTCCCCACCCTCCGCTGGACGCCAGGGGGCGCAGGCGAGCCGGCTCCCGTCCTGCGGGGGCCGGAGGGGTCTTTGGCATGGACAGGAAGCCGGCTGATCTTGGCACGGGAGATGCGTCTGCCCCGCAGCGCCCCCTCTAGTCACTGAAGGGCCGGCTGCTCCCTGAATCGCAGGGGGAAGGGTGCAGAGCAGCCTCAGCGTGGCCGCTGAACTTGTGGTGCAGCTGCTGCCTCCAGGGGTTTAGCTACTTAGCCAGTGTGGTCCCAGCCGGGCAAGAGGGAAGGGACCCCGTTGGCTTGCTGTGGGATACTTTCTTTTAGTGAGTCTTTTACGGAGAGTGTGGTTTGCGTTCAAATTTCCACGCTTTCCAAAAAGCAGGCAGTTGTATTTTTAGCATTTTTAGTACCTTTCACACTGCAGGCAAATTGTGGCAGCAATACGTGCTGAATTTAATATTCCAAAATGCAGCCGTGTTACACCAGGGCTCCATGTCTGCCCTTCTGAAGGGCGAGGGCAGGTGCTCCCAGGTGACAGCAGCATTCACACACTTGGATTGTTTTTGGAATTGAGCCCTAGACTTACCGGTCCTCTCAAACCATTAGACAACACAGGAGAAGGAGAACCACGTCTCCCGGCTGTTGACGGCGGGTTTCTGGGGCCCTTTACTGAACAAGTTGTCCCCTAAAGCTTCACGCAGTTTGCAGTCATATAGAGCTCAAATCCTGCACTAGGATTTATATTTTGGTGGTGGCCGGGGAAGGGTGGGGGTGAATTGGGTTTGGGCACCTTGAATACTAAGAGGAAACTGGAGGTGGGGGCTGCCTGCAAATCCTTTTGTAAGTTGTTCTTTTCTTGCACCCCAGGTGGGGGGCACTGGCTTCAGTGCTGCAGCCTGAGCCCCTGGGCTCTTGCTGGGGGGTGTGGAGGGGTTTGTGCAGAAGACAGCTTGGCCTCCTGGGGAGTTTCAGGATAGATATTGGGGTGGGCCTGACGGGGGTCAGGAAATCCACCAGACACAGGGGTGGAAGGGCAAGTGCTTAGAAGTGTTCCTCTCATCCAGATGCATCCTCCGTGCTCGGCAGGGAGAAAGAAATATGAGACTGGAAGGAAGGGAGTGAAAGGCAAACCTTTCTTGTCAAAATTCGGTGGTTGCAAAGAAAATGAGTTAAAATTTGTTGTGAGTTTTGCTCCCTGGCTGAGGCAGAGCCTGGGTTCTGGGGGCAACTGAGGGGTGAATCTCTCACAGGAGGGGGCATTTGACATAGGGGATATCATTGTGCTCTTGCCTGGACGGGGTGAGCTCCCCGTTGCCGGGAAAGGCTTCTGAAGTCAGCCTTTCCTGGGATCTGCAGGGGATTCAGCCGATGAGGAGGTGTTCGGTGCTTGTGCCTTAGGGGATCTCCGTTGGCTTCTCCAGGTGTTGGGGAGACTGTCTCTGACGGAGCGTGTGCTTCTGGGCATGATGCTGAACTCTCAATCCAGAAGGTGAAGGTGAAGTCATTTAGAGGAGCTGGGGAAACCTCAGTTGGTGGGGGAGTAGAAGAGTGAGAGGAGAAAGCGCTGGGGTCACTGTCACCCCAATACAAGCCTAGAACAGTGCATCAACCTGAGCCTTCCCTTCCTCCCATCAGTAACCGGCTTCTCCACCAGAGCCTACAGTGTCCGCCCTCAGCAGACAAGACAGATGGAGCCAGCGACGGCCACCACATCTCCAAAACCGAGGACCCGAAGGTTGCTTGGAAACAGAGGGAGAAGGTCTCGGGGGTTCATCTGTTCTGGTGGGGTGGTCACTTGGTGCTTCTTCCTCTACTGGAAGACGAGGTGATTTTAGAAAATCCTGCAGAGCAGCTGGGAAGATTCGAGGCACTGACACGGTGCCTGGCTTAGACAGAGCTCAGCAAACACCAACTCTGTTACTCTGGCTATTCAGCGTGTTCTGCCATTTTTACAGCGTTTACGCGAGACTCAGCATTTATAGGCTCAACTCCATTTTGTTGAGAGGAGATGGAGGTTGATAGAGGTACGTGGCTTCCCTCCGTCAAGCGCCCCCCGGAGATGAAGACAAGACAGATGCACTGATGTACCCTATGCATGCATGCATGAGTGTGTGTGTGTGTGTCCCTGTATGTGTGTGTTAATATACATGCTTGAGAACACACACACTTGCATTCATGGGCATGAGCACTGGGAATCAAACTGCCTTCATGCTTTGAATGTTTACTGTGCTAAGTGTCTTACCTTTGGGAGCATGTACTTCCCCCGGAGATGGGATCGGAGGCAAGCCCTCTCTGCCTTTCTGTGTTTAAATGTAGCGTCTCTCTCCATCCTTCAAGGAAAGAACAGAATAAGGGGTCAGAGGGCAAAGAGCACTCGGGACACCCCAGCCCCTGCTCAGAGGAGCCAGCCTTGAAATATCTTCAAAGTTCCCTGGGAAATAGGGGAGCTATTCCTGTTCCCCCAAACGTCTGCCTGTCTCTCCTACTTAATAAGCGAATAGAGATTCCAACCCTGGAGTTGACTGCGTTTTGGGAATCTCCTGATGGCAGCAAGTTGTGGGTGTGGTCGTCATCTTGACACAGAGCTGAGCTCAACGTATTGCTTGAAGTGTGACTGAGCACAGCGGTAGTGTCCCGGGAACACGTGGTGGGGACAGCTTCCCCTGACCCCAGGGCCCCCGCCCCGAACCCCTGAGACTGGAGGGGGGCTGCTCTTCAAACAAGCTCCCTGAGCGATTCTTAAGGTTCTCATGCTAAGCAGGACTGTGTCTTCAGGACAGGGCCTCTGGAGCACATGGTCCTTGGAGATATGTCACCTCCTCTAGACCCCAATTTCAGGAGTGTTCCCTCAGATCGGGAGGTGGCAGCCACACACGAGGGCAGCTTTTCAGAGCCCTGGGATGACCAAACGGACAAAAGCAGATCCTTTGGGGACACCTGCAAAGTCCAGCTGCCCGCCTTCCTGGAGGCTCCACTTATACGCTTGACCTTGCCTCCAGCTGCCCTGGGCTGGACAGAACGGCGCTGACTTCATGCAATCTCTCCCCTGGGAGCTTGGGGTTGGGACTGAGAGGAACAGAGATCCTGTGTGGCTGGAAGAACCAGGTGAACTTGAGGCTGTGGCTGCCTTTTCTGCCAGCCACATGGTCTGGGTAACGGAGGGAAGAGAGCAGACTGCTGAGAACAGAGCAGACCCAGAAGGCAGAGTAACCACCTCTGGAGTAACTGCTCTGCCTGGTCCACATTCTGGGTAAAATCTGGTACTATTTTTTTTTTAACCTTGAACCATTCTGGGGTGTGTGTGTATCTGTGTGCTATAGTATCTTATGGTATTAATTTTAGACATTTTGGTGTACTTTTTTTGTGATTTTCATATTTCAAATTGAGCATTTATATAATCCCCTTGACCCATTTTTCTTGCTTTTTTACTGAAATTCCTCATATAGCTTAGATGTATCCTTTTTACAAATTCTTTCCATCTGTGACTTGTGTCTTTGATGCATAAAAGTTTTAAATTTTGAGGGAAATGCACGGGACTATGGTGGTGGCACAGGGGTGATTTGGTGATGGGAAACCCGCGGGGATTACAATCGAGATGGAAAAAAAATGTGCAAAATGATGTAAAAATAAACTTTGTAATAAATAAATAAATAAAAGTTTTAAATTTTATAATAATCATCACGAACAACTATATACCAGAGACATTTTATGGGGGTAGAGTGGGGAATGGGATCAAAAATTGGTGGTGGGGGTGCACTGGACTATGGTGATGGCACACGGGTGACTGGGTGATAAGATACCCACGGGGGTTACAACTGAGATGGGAAAACACACAAAATGATGTAAAAATAAACTATAACATATAGAAAAAGGTTTTAATTTTAATAAAACTTTTGATCATTTAAAAAATTGGCATTTCTCTCAGGTTATATTTAAGATGACATTTGTGACTTAGAAAAGTTGCAAAGATATTCTTTGTCCACATGCTTTATAATTTTAGCATTTACCTTTAGGTCTGCAATGGCTGTCAAATTCGCTTTGTGTGTGCAGTGTGAGGTAGGGATTCAAGTTCAGTGTTTCCCATTTGTTTCAGCACAACTTATTGAAAAGAACTTCTTTTCTTTGATTATTTGGTGAAGATTTAATGCTTGTCCAGTTCTATTTTCCCCACTCTTAGCCCATACAGACCCAGATCCAGTCCTCCAGGGTCAGTTTTACTAATCACTCATAAAACCAGTTTGCTCTCTTCACTGTCACAGTAACTAGGATCCTGACTTGAGCATAAATTCCTGCAGAAAGAAAGCCAAGTGCTCTCCTTCAGCGTAGCCCTCACAGTGCCAGCCTACAGCCAGCTCCAAAAAGTGACCAAGTCAAACAAAGCTCAAGTTACAAACGACACCACAGCAAATGTAGTACCTCATACTAGTATTAGATAGTATATGGAGTATCTTGGGTAAAGGAAAGGGGAGTTTTAATAACATGGAGAGAAATGGAGGGATAAACAGACTATTGCTTTACAGAGACATTTCCAAGTGTCTTATTTAGCACACACCACTCTCAGTACTATTACTGTCACTGGGGAGAAACAACAAGTAAAACAAAAATTAAAGTGTTGTAAGGAACACTGTTAAGGAGCTTTTAGTTGACAATCACCAGTGTCACACACTTTTCCAAAATGGGAGGACAGATTTAGGAGGCTTTTATTCACTCATACTCACTTAAATTGCTATACATATTAGAATATCTATAACTGTAACTTGGGGTGAGCCATTTTTGATGACTTTATGTGACATTGTAGTTGATGAAGCTCTTAAAAACTCAAGCAAGACCACAAGTCACATCTCCTTGTGTGGGGAAGCAGGCTGATCCCATTGTCTTGCTGCTACATACACATTGTCCTACTAGACAATGTAAATTTATATTTACATGCACATACACAAACAAACACCCCAATAGTTGGGAAATTACCCAATCCACTAAGGGGTCTAGATACAAAATTAAGGAAAATTTTGTCATTAATCACAGCTAAGCAAATTCAACAGCTGCGATATCTGTGAGAGGATTGGACATATTAAATGCAATATTGGAGATGATTAGTCTAAATTCTGACCATTTTGTTCACATTGCCTTCTTGAGGTCAAGCATTTGGTTCTGTCTCTACTGTTTCCTTATTATGCTTGTTTCCCTTTGCCACACCATCAGCAATAAACTAAGTAATAACCAAGAAGTGTGGCTTCTTTTGCTCAGTGTTATCTTAACCCCACATCATTTTTCAACTGCGTTTTTTTTTAAACTGACTTTAACTTAGTGCTGAGGGAAGCATAATACATTCTAGGTTGTTTATAAGCCATGATTTCTTTCAGAAAAAATACAATAGACAAGGTCTCCATTAAATGTAAGCTTTTGAACTTTCTTAGTTTCCCCTCAGTCATTAACCTTTTCACCTATAATCATCTTAGCAATGGGACTTAAGCAACAATTACTTAATTGATCGTTAGCAAAGTAGCCATCATGACAAAAAAGAAATACTTTTCTTTTTGTAACATATGATGAACATTTAATCTCAAGCTTGATGCTTCACTTCTTAGTTCACCATTAAAAAGCTCTTAAATTAACTCTACCTTAAAAATTTACATAGTTTACATTTATTTATGAATCAGTCTTCAGTGGGGACACATTGTTGATGATACTTACATTCCATTATACCCAACTAAAATGTTATTAATATTTCATCTGTAGTTGACAATTAATAGTATTTTATACAGCCAGGGGAATGTCTTCAGCTTTTGGAGTCACATGCTTAAGTATTTAGGGGTGAAATAATACCATGCCTATAATTTACTTTAAAAATCGATGGATCATTCTCTCTATTGTCTATCGGCCTGCCTACCTATCACCTATCTACTTAAAAAGCAATCGTGTTGACTTTATGTAATATAATAACATAAATACGTTTATATAACACGTTTATATAACATAATATTCATTATGTTGTTCTACTTTTATCTTTAAAATGTTCATGGAAAACAGTCCACAAATTTACTCACAGTCTTTGAGAAGTGAAGACTTATGACATAATCATCATGTTTCATTTTTTAGGCTCATTCTGCATGTGTACAATCAAGATGGCCCCAAATGTTCTTTGAAGCCCTCTTTCAGGTGCTAAGTCTGAATTCTCACCATCTGAAAGCGTTCTGCTTGCCAGGGAGGTGAATTTCAGGAAGATTATAGTCAGACTGAAAACTTTTCTGAACAATGAAATTGAGAGCAGTTAAAAAATATGTTGACCATAGTATTAAGCTCTTGAGGAACATCATCTGGGTTCATTGTGACTTTTCATTACTATTCATGTCAGTAAGACGTAGTAACTGTTGATGCTCAGAAATCGTTCACATTAATACAGCATGCTCTTCTAAGGATAGATGTAAACAGAAAAAGGAAAGCCGAGCAGGAAGAGGAATAAACTGAGATGCAAGAGGGTAAGGCAGGGATCAGTCTGCTGCTTTGAAAGGAAAATGAAGTCGATGTACTCACTTCTCCTCAATCATTTGCTTCTGATACTCCTCATATTCCTCTCTATTCATTCCTTGAGCCGCTGCAGGATCAGAAGCACCTCCTTCTTTTTTTTCTTCAGCCCCGCCACCAAATCCTAAATTCTTTACCTGGTTACTTATCATACTTTTCATAAAGTAAGCCATGACTTCTACTCCAGAAAAATAAAGCCTAAACTCAGACGAAACCTAAAGAAAAACAAATATAAAGTCTACAAATGCCCTCAGCGATAGTCACACATCTCTAAGGGCCCCCTTGAAGCTTCGTCCACTCAAGGGTGTGATGACAGAGAAAAGTGGTTTGGGGCCAGTGCTGGATTATAGGGGAACTCCTGAGCATGGAGGCAGATGGTTCAGATTACTAAGGCACCCGGCAGATGCAGCTCGGCTCCTTCTATATTAATACACTAAGCTCATTTCAGAGGGGAAAAAAAAATCCCTCCCATTATCAAACCCCTCCCTACCCACTTCTAAATTTTAAATTGTAAGCACAGCAAGACTTCATCAAGAGTTCTGTTTCAATTAACCAGTGACGGATTATAGGCCTGTAATGGAATTTCTAGATCCCAGGCCTTGAGCAAAACATCCTGTTGGACACAGGGTCCGGTGAGATTTCAAATCCAAAATGCTTCATTAAGCAAAAATAATCCTCTGAGCCATCATTTTATCTCACTGGACTCTCAGTCCCAGGCCAGGGCCTGCCTTTTGGTGGGTTGTCTTGGTCCTGCTTCAGTAGTTACTGTGTCCCAGACATAAATACCCAACTGAGACAAATCTAAAGGGCAAGCAAGTGCCGCTGACATCTGGAAGATTCCTTCAGCCACCTCCGCAGACATGCTACACTTCTGCGTGGAAACGACACGAGGTTTCCAGTGCTCTGGGATGCCAGGTGCTGTCTCCACACGTGGTGGGTCCCTTTACCTCTTATCTGCACACCACTCCTGGGTGCTCACTGGTGTACTTGGGAATGATTTGACACGTAATGCAGAAGATTCTTATTGGTTGTGATTTTCCTCACGTCAAGAGGAATTGAGAATGGCTAACCCATGAATCCATGTTAGTAACTTTCTAATTTAAGCTCTCCGAGAGGACGAAGGGTGGCGGGAGGAGATGGAGGCTATTTGAAACCTAAGCTTATTATTTTATCTGTCAGCCTGAGCCCTCTCGGGAGACAGGTGACAACCTTTTAGACTAAACAGATCTGGATTTTTGCCCAAAGACCTGTTTTAGATATTTTAATATCTGCTTTCTCTTTTACTAACAGATCTAGGTGAAATGGAAACTTTGTGACCTCTGAGAACATAGGTTAAAATTTAGCACCACTTTTAGATGCATTGCTTGAATTTAATACACTCGAGCCCTCTCTCTAGTACCATTTGTAATAAGCACCCATTCATCTCCATTGAGATGTGTCATCATAGCACAGAATGTTCCAGATAATGAAAGCTATAGGCCAGGTCACTGTTGTTGGTTTGCTGTCCCAGATCAGCACAAACTCCTTTAGAAAAAAACCTGCATTTCAAGCTATTAAAAAGGTACTTTTATTCCCAAAGAAAAGGATCTTTTGCTGAAGATGTAGTTAATTCTGGCCCAAAAGTGAAATCCCCAATTATACTTGTAGTCAACTTAGACTGGACAAGTCTGAATCAAAGGATTAATATTATCCCATAAAGAACAAAATCTCAAAGTAATAAAATATTCACTTTAAGTTCCTAGGTTGCTTACATTTATCATAAAATCTGTAATTGGAACTCCACTTAAGAATTAGATGTCATTAACGGAGACTGATTCTAAGCTGCAAAGACAGTTTGCGAAGCTGCCCAATCGTCTGTATGTCAGGGCTAGTGGTGTAAAGCATTAGAGCCCCTTCTGTGGTCTGTGGTGGCCGCAATGTGGCAATTGAAGACCCCTGGGTATTGCTGTATGAGAGCAAACCTCTCACTGTCCCCCCCCAAAACAGATAACTATGGAGTCATGTTTAAGACTCTTGATTACCAAGTCCTTTTGACTCCAACACCCGGTGGTATCTCTAGGCTGCCGCACAGAATCCTTCATTCTTCTAGAAAGAGAACTAAGTACGCCAGGGTTCATGAAACTTGATCACCAGGCACGTCCCTTCTTCTCCATCTCATCTCATGTGAGTAACCCCCATCACTACCACGCCCGTAAGGCCGCGTCCCTGGGCCCCAAGAGGACAGCATGGCCTGCAGCTGGCCAGCTGGCGTCCGGCCTCTCCAGTGCAGTCTCACCCCCACCCGCAGGCTCACTGACTGGGCCTCACGTCTCTTCCTACTGCCGTCAGACCTATGCAGTTCGTTTAAAGATGTGCGGTCCACGTCCTTAGACTGCCTTGTCCTGAAATCCTGAAACCACTTTGTAAAAACTGCCGAGTCCTTCTTAAGGTTGCTCAGCCGTGAGCGGAGCAATACTGGGAAAGTGAGCAGGGTCACGCTCGCCCCCAGATTTGTCTGACCACAAAGCCCTGCCTTTCCCTGTCATGCCACATGGGCTCTGTGAATTGGAATGGGTTTGCAGAGGTTAGATTTTCAAACTGCCATCAAATGACTAATAAGACGTCGACTCCACTGTGCTAACCCGTCCGCACGGTTCCCCGCCATCTCCAGCCCAACTTCTCTTCCTGAGCGGATGGTGGCTCTGCCGGGTGCCAGAGGGCAGGGCTCAGCGCGGGGCAGAGCTCAGCGCGGGGCACACACAGATGCTGTCACAGATCAGGGCCTACCTGGAAAACTATAGCTACTTATTCCCAAGATCAATGAAGAAAAAAGTAGATTTACTAAAATATTTCTTTATTTGAAGGTCAACGTCAATTAATTACAGCTAGCATCAAATAACAATCAGAAAAAATACTTGACAAAATGTTACCTAATTAAAATTAACAGTAGATAGAAAACCATTTAGACTTTAAAAGAAATATATTAAACAGGCAACAAACAGATCTAAAAAGTTGCGAATGGTGATTTTGTTAGATCTTATAAATAAAAAAACCCCAATATAATCATTTGTTCACGTCTCTTTGTGATAAGCAGGTGGACAGAAACGATAATCACATCTCACTATGGTCCACTGCTCTGCGGTCCTTTACAAAGACTGTACCTCAGCAATGCAGCGGGCCAGGCAATTCTTTTTTCAAGTAATTTCTATTTTCCCAAGTTATCAAAAGTACAAGTGTCGAGATAAAAATGTCACAATCAGGAAAGCAAAAATGCTTCAGTGGGCTGACTTGAAGGTAGGAGTTCCATGTCTTGATCATGATCTGGAGATGATTTCGTGGCTTAAAAACCATCTATCAAAGTACCAAGAAGTACGGCAACAATCTGGATTTAGTTTGTCATCGCTAATAAACCAGGTGTTTTAGTAAAAAGAACATTTAGTAAAGTGTAATATAAAAGAATCAGTGCACGTTTGCTGACATCATTCACAAGGAAAATGCTCTATTATGTGTTCAGCTCAGCTTTGAACCAGCAAAACACTTTATTTTTTTCACTTCTCATCTTAGTGGTTCACAAACTGTGGTGGGCTCAGCACCATCTGAGGGGCCTGCTGAAGGGGCATATTCTGAAGCCCCGCACCCCCTGACTTTCTTTTGAAGTGGTTTGAACTGGAGCCCCGGAATCTGCTCTCCCAACCAGCACCTCCAGACCCAGACAGGCCACCGACATCCCCTTAACACAGAACAACACAGTATTTACTGTTCGTGGCGTCCTAAAGTTTTAAGGTGAATAAAACATTCAAACAATTAGAGACAAATTGGTACATTAACTATGGGCACTATCCATGATGTAATTGCATTTTAAAAGTGGTATCTTAAGCACAATGACATACACTAAAATTTTAAAATCAATTTTGTTTTAATCCAAGGCACCTGTAAAATACTTGCTGGTGTGAGAAGTTAACAAATCCAATTATACAAAATAGTACAGAAATGAAAGAATCCTGGCAGTGACTGGTTTTCCACAGAAACATTTACCTTCAGAAATGAACTACCTAAGTCAATGATTGAGGAAAATGAACAAAATTTCAAAGAATATGATAAACACCCTGTGTGAACTGCTTTACTGAGTGATCTTCAAGCAAATTAAGTTACTAAGTAAAAAATCAAAAAAAAAAAGAAAAAAAATCCTGCTCATGCTCTTCCCTAACAGTGGTGGCCCCGAGTGGCGGCATGACCATGGCTCCACTCGAGGCCAACCTGGAAAGACACCGCCCAGGCCGGGCATTGCTCCGGCCGGTCTGGGCACATGTCACCAGGGGTTTCTGCGACGCTGGATATGTTGCAGTCTTTTATCTCCAGAGGATTTCTCAAGTTTCATAGTCTACGACTTAACTATTCTTCTGGAGCTATTATTATTTTTTTCATGGATAAGAGAAAATTCTGATGATGGTGTCTCTGAAATATGAATTTTAAAATGTTAATACTATAAAGGTACAAAGTACTGGAGAAGCATTTGCTATGCTGACATGACTGGAGCAGAGCGAGGGTCCTTGGGACCGTCCCCCTCAGCGCTCTGGTGCGCCAGCACAGCGGCGCTACGCTCTTCACACACGCTAGCCGGGCTCTGAGAGCACAGCTCTTCAGTCTCGGCACAGTTTCTAGGCGGGAAACCCAGCCTGTGAATGACATTTGAGAGAATTTTATGAAGGCGTGAAAGAAAGAAATAGAACTATTTTATAAATATGATTCTTTTGGATTCCATGACAAATGAAAAATAAGCACTTTAGGTGAAAGTATCTTGAAGCCAGCAAAAATAATTCAACATCAGCTTCGAAAACAAAACAAAACAAAAAAAATGGCACTTCAAACTGTCATTTGCAGACTGTCGCTATAACGCCTGGAACTACAAAGACCCCATCCAGCCTGACATTTCGAGTTAGGCTTACAAAGAAGCGCTTCACAAAATCTTTAAAAGAATTACAAGAAGGAAATCAGAAATACTCATTCCATTTATCGATTTTTGTCTTAAAGAACCCTAACACTGCTTCTACCAGTTTCTTTGATTTGTTGCAAGAGTATGCAGAAGCACAGAGCCAGGGAGGATGGAGGCCTGCAGCCAGGCTGGTGAACTTAAGATATGGTCAGAGCGTGCGTCTGGGCTGAGCTGACATGCTGTCCCAAACAGGAGAAATGAATTCCTTCAGTTATGAATGCAAATGTAAAAATTATTTCCATAATGTTGAACTGATGCCATTGGAATGAAAACATTCGAGAATATGAGCAGCTGTACAAATGAATAGATTAACAAGCAAATACTCATGAAAACCATTATCAGAGGAATGTTTTCACCTAAATTGTTTTTTGAAGAGCAGCTTTCCTCCCAAAATTTCCTTTAAAAGTGAATCATATCATTGATAACCAGAAGGAAAAAATACTTTAATAAACTTTCTGAAGCCTTTTATCCAGCTCCTAAAGCTCTCGGACAAAATTTTCTTTGATTTCAAAAGGGAATTGCACTAAACAATTGCAGGAATGGTGTTCATGGGAAATTCTGACCTCTAAATTACCGTCGGCTACAACATAAACATGATGGGGAGCCTGTAGCTAGACCTAATTTTTGGGGAGGAGGCCGGGTATGTTTATATTAAAAAAAGACCAACATTTGAGATTTAGGGGTGACTTCTCTATCTGAAAGGCAAGCCCCACTTTGAATTATTTAAGCTCTTGTCTATCAATTTTCTGCTCAGTGACTGTATTCTACTGGCCAGAAATTCACTGTAATTTAAATAGATTCACGTACTATGCACAAATTTACATGTGGTTGTCTTTGTTTTAAGGTTTATTCTGACTGTAAATCAGTATTTAAACAGTAATTTTATACAAAATTTAATAATTTAGACTATGAAGTAATTTAAATACTTAAATTCCCTCAAAAAAAGACATTTTATATATACATACATGATGCACACATGTAAACAGAGGTCAAAAGAACTTTTTGGCAGCTGCTTCTTGCTGGGTCCTTAGGAAAAGAGAAAGAAAAAAACGGAGGTTTTATGTATTTTGGCAAAAACAGATTTGTTTTAGATTAAAAAATCCAATGTCACCTATAGTACAAAATACATTCAGACAAGACAGACTCCCCCACATCTGCGGCTGTGTAAGCACTATGGAACATTTGCTCACTGTGAACCCGACTTAAGTTCTGCTGCAGACACAGACGACAGCACTTCCTTTAAACAAGATAGACGTGGGCTAAATTTTGTTGAGAGACTTACCTGTACATAAGATAGCCAATGAACAACAGCGTTTGCACCACGACAAATATCAGGAAGTGCATCGTAGATAAACAAGATGGAAATGGTGGAAGTTCTGGGCATTTCGGCTTTTCATTCGACGGCTATAACACAAAGAACTTACACTTAGTCACATCATGACGACACAAAAGACGGAAATGTGAATTCTTTATAAAATCCATGGCTCACTACATAGGTGATTCTTCTCATAAATTCAACTCATGCTTAATTCTGATCACCACGCTGCTGACACCAAAGACTTCCCCTTCGCTGCTGTCCAGTCACTAACTCATTATCACCATCTCATCCTCATCAGTGATGATTTTAATATCCTTGAAGGTCATGGAGATTGGATCACAGAATTCTCCAGCTGCTCCCAGTTACACTTGCTTCACTGGAATGATTACTCGCGCCCTCTGCTCCTGTCCAGACAGTGATGCGGCTGCCCAACGAACAGCCTGGCGAACACTAAGGCTGCTCTCACCCTCATCCTCCTAGTTTTCAAGATCACTAGTTAGAATTTAAAAATGTTTTTCTTCCCAGTTCCTTATGTATTTCTCCTAATTTAAGGAGGTAATTTAATACCAGGGATAAAGATGTCATCAAGGTATTGAGGCAGAATGGCTAGAAGATGAGTCATTCTCAATACACCTCTGTCCCCGGGGTGAAGTTCTTCAGTACACACACACCCCAAGGCATCAGCCCGGCCATTATGAGAGAAGCTTAAGGTGGAGGAAGCAGAACTAAGGGAATAGATAATGTGCTTTGAGTAAGAACTAATGATCAGTAAAGAAACTATTAAGCCACACTTGAAAAAGCTATGCGCTCAAGACACACACCTGGAGGTAAGAGTTAACTAAGAAGGACAACAGCCAAACACAAGGGGACAAGACCAGCCAGTGAAGACCTCACGCTTCCCCTCCGCCACAGAAGCTTGGGAAAGTGACTTAGTAACATTTTCCCCTAAAGGACAATTTTAAAAATGGTTTTGAAAGAGACACACTCCATAGAAAACCCAAGGGATGGGGACTTCTGCTCTGTGAGGCGGACTGGGTGGTGTGGAGCGAGGGCCTAGCAGAGCTGAAGACAAACTCACCCCAACTTGACAAGTGGAGGAAGGCACAGTCAGCTAACAAGATAGCAAGAAATTATTAGGCCACAGATTTGGAAAAAAAAAAAAAAAACAGGCCAAAGAAACAAAACTGTAAACCAACTTTGAATCAGAGAAGAAATTAAAATGAGAAAAAGCTCACTGAATGACAATACAAATACTCCACAGGAAAAGAGGCACAACCTCTGCTTCCACCGACTGGGGGCTCAGCGCTGTGGGAAAGGCCCTCCCACTCCAGGCCACCGGGAAGCAAGAAAAAAGTCTGCGAAACCATTTTCTGTAGTAAGGGCCGCTGCAGCGAGGAGTCAGGCCCGGGGAGCCCGGCCCAGTGACAGCTCCTGCCGCCCGCCTGGGCTGCGTTACTGTGAGGGGACCCAGCGGGAAGCGAGTCTTGCTCGGTGGAGACGAGGGGTTCAAGCTCGGGAAACAACGTGGCTAGCACCGGGGTGAGGAACTCCAGAACGGGCGGCTGAGCAGAGAGCTCTGGAGCTGAAAGTGTGTTAAATTTTTGGCTGAACCCGACCTGCAATTACAGGGCTGGCCCCCCACAAGGCGCACAATAAACCACCCGAAGGCAACAGCCACCCGACTCTCAGGGCTCCCACAAAACGCCGGGAGCAGCCTGCTTCCGCCGGCCGGACCGGACACAGCGGCGGCAGCAGGGCGGCGCAACAGCAGTGGCGACCGACGCTCGAACGCTGGGCTCGTGGCTCTCAACCAGGGCGATTTAGCTTGCCATGGACGTTCAGCCATGTCTGAAGGCACTTCTGACTGGGAAGGGCGGCTGCACCTAGACAGCACGCACGGGACAGCCTCACGGAATGCAGGATCCGGTGGGGAGAGGACAGGACAGGAAGGCCGGACCTGGCTCTCTCAGGATCTCTGGCTTACCAGTGGCAAAGCTGGCGAAGGAGCAGACGAATGCCTACTTTTACCAGCTGCTGCTAACTTCTCCTTCCCCACAGTTATTCCATCGTGCACGCTCTATAGACACATAACAGGTTTCTGATTTCCTCTGCTCCTGGCCAGAGTGCATCGTTAGACCTCGGCCTTTTGCTAGACAGGTAAAAAATGGTGTCACACTAGTTTCATGTTACAGTTCCCTTCTGCAGGTAACCTGGGCACCTTTTCATATATGGCAAGTGGCATACAGTAAGAACTTTCCCCGTGTACATTCTATTCTTTCTCCATACATTTTTTAAAAGGTCATTCCGTATCCAACTAACTTCCAGATTAGACTGCCAAGGGCAGAAGTAAATACCACCAGCATTTGTGAACTTTATAAGGACCTTTAAAGCCAATGAATAATGAAAAACTTAAAACTTGAAAAACTTCAAAGTATCAGAGGCCTGTCTTCTAGCATTATCTCTTCTACATGTTCAGCTTTGGAAATGTATTACCTCTTTTTAATACTTCTCAGTCATCTCCAAAAATGTAAACGAGGGATTACACTAAAAAATCCTTAATAAAGGTAAAAACAAAAGACAAAGTCCCTAAAATTCTACATTTCATCAGTAGTCCAGCGAAAAACAGAAGTACTCAGTACCTGTTTCTCTAAAAACCAGTTTGTCAAGAGACACTCTTTCGAAGTTGTTTTAAATATCACCATCAATGACAAGAGTTATGTGTTTTAAAGAAAAAATACAGGAAGGAATCTAGGAACAAGAGTCTGAGGTGGTGACAGCTCCCCTAACCGGAAGGGCATCTACTGCCTCCGTTCTCTTAACAGGCTACGGGGGCGCTGTGGTAGCACGTCGGACACCCCGATCCTACGGAACGAAGCCTACCGTGAAGTTAGCGATGAGAATCGGCACTAACTGCAGGGTAGGGCAGTAAAAGGGAGGCATTCTCTGCGGGACCGCGCCCTCCCTGGAGAGGCCTCAGGAGGCCGAGGCTCACCGCGCCGCGCTGCACCAAGTGGTCTATGTCCCGCTTCACCACGTGCAGGTGCTCCTTGATGTCATTGAAGTGCTGCGTGGTCTCATAGATGCCCCCCGCTGGGCCCGGGGGCTGGATACCGCTGACCAGCCGGACAGTTTCACTCATGGAGTTCCTGAAAGAACAATCTCTTTAGACGATGGAATTGCCAATGTTTCAGATGGCTGAGATACATTTCTAAGCCTAATATATCAGATCAGAAAAAAGTAATGGAATTCTGAATTTCAAAAACTGAATTGTTTTCAAGATTGAAAAGTAATGTATCAAACTACAACTTAATATTAAGCTTTATCTTCTATTAAAAGTCATCTAAAAAGAACCATCAAGAGTTAACACTAAAAATGTGTTAAAACCAGTATTACAAGTGGATACTGAATAACATAACGGATGATACTCTTAATGACCTTAAGTCTTTCTAAGTGGTGGATCTCAGGCGTGTGATAAAGCATGAATGCACCCCGAACCCTGCAAGTCTTCAGGACCCGCCTGAGCAGCGGCTGGAATACCCGCCTGTCGATGAGAGGGACTCGCTGGGTTGTTGTGTACCTGGAGATGTCTTGGGCCACATCAAGTAACTTATGATAGTTTATTCCCCAACTATTTTACACAGAATTATTACATATTACTCCGTATTCTTTTTATATTCTAGAACTATATGAACACACCTGGCTGCTACAAATCTTATTTATTTTTTTAAAAGATTTTAAATTTATTTTTGCACGCAGAACTGGGATACAGGGCGTGGTGAGAGAATTCACCAGAGACAGAATGGGGAGCAGAGCAGAACAGGCAGATCAATGAACTACACTGCTGAGGGGAGCAAGAGGCGGGTCAGGAGAGGTCTGCCGCTGTGGATCACCTCCAGAACAGGGAATCTAACTCGCACCAAAACTGCTGTGGCCAGCTTCAGAGCGCTGCGCTCCAACCCACTGAGCCACCAGGCAGGGCCCCAAATCTCTTATTTTTAAAAGATGCCGAAGGACTCTTTTTCTAGCTACCTTCAATTTTAAAATTTAATGTTAGTAGTTTCTAAATAGCAAAAGTCCCTATACTTTACATTACCCTACTTATAAAATGAGCCTGGACTGTTTCCTATCCTCATGGAGGACCCTTGCATCCCTAGAGAAGCGGTGACGTTAGGATAACGACATCATGTCACTCACATATCACTTTTATAGACTTACTTCATTTCATTTACTTGTCTCAGAATTTCATGCTGAGTATTCACAACTGTATTCAGTTCTTGCTGTGAGATCTGCCGGGGAGGGGGAAAAAAAAGTCAGCCCACAGGGACACAGGCGTCTGTCCTCCTCCTCTACACCAGGCTGACCACGCCTATTCACTCACCTGCCCCTGCTGCCCTGGGACTCCCATGCCTCGCCGAGAGATCTCCTCCGACAAAGACGTGACATATTTTCTCTGTTCATCAAGAATCATGTCTAACTGTCGGTTCAACTGCTTGATTTCAAGATGAATACGATTCTGTCCTTCAAAGATTTGTCTCAGCTCACGATCTCCCACACTCTCAAATATTTCATCCGCTAAATGGAAATTGCAAATTAAAACTACTAGAACCACCTGCACACAGGGAGTCTTCAAAATGCATTAAGGGACCACAGTGTCAACACATATGAAAATGAGAACATCACCTAGACAGTGGTGCGCTCTCCCAAGAGTAATAAGCATGCGACAATGTACTCAGCCATGATCACATGACTGGATCTCCTCCCCTCCTCCTGATGTCACTCTGGGGGCCAAACATTTATTATAGGAAGTCTGAGATTTTAAAAATCAAGTCATTCATTCTTCCAAATACACTGTAACTCTATTTATGTGAACAGGCAGAACTAATAATATATGCTAATAGAACACATATATGCTAATAGACACATTTGTCAAAATTCTTCAAAGTATGCACTTAAAATGTGTACATTTTACTCATGTAAAGAATAAAGGAATCAAGAATAAAGGAATCAAGAACAGCTGATTTTCCTTTTATACCTGAACACACTGAAAACAGACCATTTCATTTGCTCATTACAATCCTTCAGGGTATACCCATATGTAATGCTTCAACAAATTCAAAGACAGAAAGAAATTTATTTTTCACTTTTATCTTAAGTCTGAATCATACTTGCTGAGCATGAAAATAATTATATACTACAGAGAGTTCAAAAGTTAGCCTGACACTTTATTAAATCAAGCCTTGATCATCTGAACTGCTGGAGAATAACCCAATAAGAAAAGCTAGCAAATAATATGAAGTTGCTCTATTTGGTCTTAACATATTTTATTTTTGACATGTGCTACTTAAGTACATTTCAGTTCTTAATTACATTAGCTTAAACTAATATTTTAAGATATTGAAAGTTCAGAATTCTGCTGAATGGTGAGGGGAGGAGAGTCAGATAATTACAAACGTTACTCTCGTAATAGTTTTGGTAGTTTCAAGTGTGATTAATAAGGTAACTGTGTGCGACCAGAAAGGCAGAAATAAACCTTGGATGAGTCCACTAAGCCTCAACCCCCAGTCAGCACTGCCGGCGTCGGGGCTAGGCGTCTGGCCGTAAACAAAGCCCCTGTCCTCGAGCTCACCCCAGCAGTTCTCGGCCGCCCTGCCGGGCCAGGTGCCCCGCACCCCCACTAAGCCACATGCTTGCTGGTAAAAAACGTCAACCTCCAGGTCCTTTAAAGACTGAAGCTTCGCTCATAGGCTGTTCCCAGCAATGACACCGAGTATGAGGGGAGAGTGGGGGTGGCAGCGGGATGCGGGTGCTGTGGCCCCCACTGCACCTGAGACAGCCTCACAGACACACCTGGGTGTCCCTGCAGGTCAGGGTGGTCCTTCTGGAATTCCTCTTTTTTTTTATCCAGTTCTTGTTGAAAGTGCTCAAATTCTTCCTGATACTTTTCTTTTTCTTTTTCTGAAATTTCTTTGTCCGCTGTAGGCTTAAAGAAAAAGAAAATCCTTAATATATATTTTTTTTTTCTTAATAACATCACCACTAGTTGGAAAGCTAGCTAAAAAAAAATTATTTATTTATGCATACAAACTGGGGCACAGACCAGAGGTGCAGGGGCAGTGAGAGGATTCATCAGAGACAGAGCGGGGAGCAAAACAGGCCAACTGACGAAGTACACTGCTGAGGGGAGTAGAGGGCGGGTCAGGAGTGGTCTCCTGTGCCATGTGGGTCACCTCCGGGCTGGGGACCAAACTCATGCCGAAGTGGCTTTAGCTTCTTAGTGCTGTGCCTTAACCTGCTGCGCCACCAGGGAGAACCCGGAAAGTTAATTAAAAAAAAAAAAAAAGATTTAATTTTATTTATTTATGCATGAGAACTGGGGCTCAGGCCAAAAGTGGGAGGGGTGAGAGGATTCACCAGAGACAGCGCAGGAGCAGCAGGTGGATGGACTGAAACACACCGCTGAACTGCGGGGAGACAGGAGAGGTCTGCTGCGCCATGTGGGTCAGCTCTCTGGCCAGGATGGAACTCAGACTGTCATTATGGCACTGAAACTTAACCCTTGGGCCACCAGGGAGGCCTTGAAAAGTTGATTTTAAAATGTTATTTCTCACTCAAATTTAGTCTTATTACTAATAATTATAATACCACAAAATAACAGCTGTGCCATTTGCTGTTGCTACAAGTGCACTGTCATTTAATGTGTGTGATGCCCAGGGCCGGCAGGACCAGGGTCGCTGTACGAGCACCTCAGTGGAGCAGCCTGCACAGGGCCACACACAGGAACCTGTAGAAACAGGTGTGAACTTCTGTCTTCTCAAAATTTCAGCTGCAGTGCAAAACCACTAAACTGCAAATAACTTTTTTGGAAAATATGGTATATACTTACTGGTTCTTTTCCAGGCTCCGTCAATTGGAAAGTCAGAAAAGAAAGGACATCATGATCATCTGCAAATTAGAGGTAAACACATAGTAATCAGTGAAGAAAATATCAAAAAGTAGCTCTAATTTGGTGAAGACAAGTGCTTCATGAGCTTGGCGACATTCATCCTTAGATTTACATTAAAAAGTAGCTTTCACTTCCTCAAATACTAACCTAGAACACTTAGCAGGGCTTAACATATAACAGGTGCTACATAATGTCTGGCAAAGCAGTGAACATGTAACTCAGTGGTCCAACAAGCCCGCACTCCTGGGTGTGGCACCAAGATCAGGCCATATTTCCCACAAGTCTCCCTCGTGGACTATGTCCCAGTTGGAAGAGATGGAATTCTGTCCTTCATGTATTTCTGGAACCTGTCTGTCTCTGAAATGTTCTTACAGCACCTGTTGCTTTCTGCCTCTCTTGTTACAAAGATGACACGGTCTTGTCCTGACTTACACATGTTGTCCTGACACTAAGAGCATCCATCCCTTTATTCTCAAAGCATCCTCATGCAGATATTATGACTGCTCCAGCTGTTCATCATTCCAATTTCATTTCCTCATATTAAGTTTCATTTTATCTAAAATAGCATTAAAAAAGCAAATTAATTTCAAACTGTTTAAAGTGAAAACAGGGCCTTGTAATGCAACCTACTTAACACTGAACTAAAATGCCAAGTCGGGGCCTCCCTGGTGGCACAGGGACAAAAGACACAGCACTGTCAAGCTACTGCGGCCACCGCAGCCTGAGTTCCTCTGCCACCAGGGAGCTGCCCCACAAGGCACACAGACCTCTCCTGTCTGGCCTGCTGCTCCCCTCAGCAGATGCACCTGCTCTGCTCCCCACTGTCTCTGGTGAATCCTCTCACCTCCACACCTCTGGCCTCTACCGCAGTTCTTGTAAACAAGTAAGTCTTTAACAAATAAAATAAAATAAAACGCCAACCCTAGCTAGTCACACCCACAAAGCCAGAGAACTTAATTCAAACCGTGTGGCAATCTCTATGCTTGCTGTCATTATTTTGCAGGTCTACAAGTACAGCCAGGTTAGAGAACACGGGAATCTGCAGGGTAGGCGGGTGACTGAGGAAGCCATGCAGCATAATGAAGCAGTGGGCAAGGGAGTCCACACCCAAACCAAACCCGGCCTGGGTCTGCCCACGACAGGCTCTGTGACCTTTAGAAAATTCTTTAGCCCGAGGTTTGGCAACCTCATAAACACAGGGCAAGCAGGAGCTATACTCTCTCCCTTCCTGTGTTGATGTACAGACAATAGAAGGTAATTCGTTTCACAGACTACACCAGACAAGCACAAGGTAGTACGAATATTAAATGCTAAGTTATCACTACATGCAGGGAAAAAAACGGTAAATACAGTTAGTTAGTCCCCAGTAATATTTTCTCAGGCTACCAAATTCATTAAATATCATGTGACAACGCTGAGGCACACACGGCACTTGGCAATTAACCATTTATAGCTTCAACTTTAAATACGACTTCTTCACTCTAGAAGAGCAGCCACAGCGAAGCTCCAACTGATATAACTGTACGGTGCCCTCTCCAGCAGGGGCTGTGGACTACAGAATGTGAGGAGACAATTAGCAGTCCAAGAGCAAAAGACGGGCACCACAGATACGGGGCTTACAACTAGATTTAAAGGTGCAAGTAAACAAGTCTACACGTCTCCAAAACACAATATTCCCAATAAAACTCAACTCACAGACTTTTACTGTTAAAAGAGATCAAGATTTACCTGCAAGACCCCCTGTGGCAGCAGATATCCCAAAATGCCCTTGGGCCGGGACAACCATATTTTCCACTCTGGCACAAAATTCATAATCATTTTTATCTGGTGTGAAGCCATTGTTGATCATGACCTAGAAAGACAGACTGTAGTTATAGCTCTCACAAGGGACACTGCAAGATGAATTTCAAATACCCAGTTTATGATTAACACGATCTAATCTTAATATTTGGTATAACAAGAACTGTCAAAAAGCTAGCAGCTTTCTCTCAGTATTATCAAGGTAATCCCTTGCTCCATAAATCACCTCACTTATTTGGTATCATTAAACAACCTTCAGTTAAGACGGCCTCTGTCCTACTGCATATCAAAGGCTCAAAGAGAAAGCTCTGATCGTGTTACATGAAAATCGCTCTGAAAACAGAATATGGGTCACATTAGGGAAGCATGATTATCTTTGCTAATGGTTCATCCAAAAAAGGAATCAGACTTTTTTTCTGAGACCAGTGAGAGTTAAAACTAATAGGCTGAATTTATAATTTTCATTAGTTGAGAACTAGAGTCCCTTATTAAAAGGATCAACCACGATATCTAGCATGATCATTCCTGTCTGTCTGGTTTAACGAACAGTGACCTCTTTCAAACTGACAATGGTGTGTCTTAACAAGTGGTTAGCTTCTCTGCATTTAACTAGTATGGTCACTGGATTGTCAATGGATAACAAAAGAGAGAGAAGTCACACTGGTAAAAAAGCAGAGAGTGAAAAGCTCGCGCGTTAAGTCTCTACTCTGCACCAGGGAAGGGCACTTTTATCACTACCTCCCACAAAGTTTTGTCAGAGATCCTGAACTCCCACAGGTAAAATGACCTACTGTAACAGTTTAACAATGAACACTTTTCAATCTGAAAAAATAATTTCTATATAATGAAAACATGTGAACTGCTACGAATTTTCTAAAATCACCTGCGTTCAACAGTTGATGAGAAGAAACATTCAACTGTTTCTTCTCGTCAGTGATGTTCCTATTTCAGTTTTATCATTCACCATTGGCACACCTCTAAAATCTTTCATATCAAAATCATCAACCATCTGTCTCTGAGCTAAAAAACAGAGAAGTTAATCACATGCGAATTACAAAATTAAGCACTTTCAACTGTTCAGTGTTTTTTCCTTAAGAAGGAAACACAATTAAAGAAGGGACACAATATAGTCATCACACTTTAGGTGTGGAGGAACATTAGGACTGCAATTTCATAGGGACAAGGCTGATGAAAGACAGTAACACTTGTTTGAGATCATCAGAAACATTCTTATCCATCATCCAGTTTCAACTTCGTTAAGCACTGGCTTGCAAGACTTGAAGTGTCTTGTTTTGACATTTTGGCCAGCATTTCTTTCCGGTCTCACACAGTAACTGGCTGAAACAAGATCCTTCCCATGTTGAAACAACTGGGGCAAGCTAAGGGTGTAAGGACTACATTACTACATGTATGTTAAGTACTATCTTCATAAACATTTCTTGAGTACCTACAGTGGCACTGGACTGGAGACGATGAGGAACACAGGCGTCAGGTCTGCACAATCGCACCACTGTTTCAGGGAACTGGGAGAGGGCCGCAGCCTGTGCTCGGGAGCGCCTGTGTCTACGCTCTACCCGGTGAAGGCGAGCGCGACTGGCCAAAGACCCCCATGAGCATGTACAGCTGTGCAGCAAGCACAGGGACCCCCAAACCCAAGGCAGCCACAATACACTGGACTCTCCTCTATTTTGAAACGTGTACATTTGGAATTTAAGACTGAGCTAACAGAACGTTTTCCAAAGAATTCCCTTTTCCAGAGTTTTATGTGTAGGAGGATGAGCTTAGCTTGTAATTTAGGGGAAATGTAACCATCAAACAAGCTACTCATCACTTCTCAGTATTGTGTAAGTCCAAGTACTGTGTAATCTTTAAAAAGCAAAGCACTGCACTGTGACCTCGGATACTGTCACTGCCAGCTGAATATACCCACCTAAGTTCCAAGTGTCTACAGCTAAACTCATTATAAACCCTCTGTCTTCCCCTCCCTCCCTCAAACACACACAACAAATATGCTCTTCTTTCTAATTAGCTGAACAACTTAGTTGCTACACTTGTCCAGAAATCCAGGACCTCCGGCTCCACAACTGTATTCACCCCCAGGCCCAAGCAAACTAGTGCTAAATCCTACAGTCTCTATCTCTTCCTCAACTTTCCACCTCTTTCCTGTACCTGATTCAGACTGCATGCAGAGGCTTGAAATTAAGTGTTGGGCTTCAATCACAGTTCTTTTACTTACTGGGTCTGACACTGCCCAAGTTACAAAATCTGCTATTCAATTCTCCATGACGTCTAGAACGAAGACGCCTACTCTACAGAGCTGTTGGAAGAACAGACGCAGAACTGCAGGTAAAGTACTGAGTAGGAGCCGATAAAGACAGGAGTGAATCACTGTATCCTTTGTTCTTTTCATAAACACCACTGTAAGAATCCTGATGCCCAAGTCATCTTCCTTACTGCAAATCTGATCACTTCACTTTTCTACTTGAAACTCTTTAAACAGTTCCTTAGTGGATAAACTACAAGATGTTACCACCACTTTCACCCTCGCTTCCCATGGATCTCCTCTACCCTCCAGTCCCACCCCACTTGCCTTTCCCCAATTTCTCAACTTCTCCCGTGTCCCAATGTCTGCTTTCTCTGCTCAGCACAGGCGCCCTCATCTAGGAAATTAACCCTTCCCCTTCAAGGTGCAGCTCGACGACTCTCCCTGACTTCCCCATGCTCACCTGCCAGCATCACAGAATTCTAACCTCTGACCCCTTAGCGATGTCTGTGCTGAGACATTTATGTAGCATGACTATGCAATATAAGTGTCTCCGTTGTGACTACAAGATCTCTGGAAAATGGGACCTGTCTTACTCATATTTCTGAATCTTGAAAACTTGGATATTTACATCACGTAGAACCTAAACATGTACTGACTCAATGACCTACTGGCAAGGTTTTACAACACGAGATCACTGACACTAAGCTCTAAAGCTAATTCTGCTCATTCATAATAACAATGATGAAGAATGTACAAATTTAATGCATATCATTTTCATCAAAGTGAAAAGTCACAACAGACTATTGCTCATCTAATGCCTCAAAAATATGTTACTTACTGTCAGTGTTTTCTGGTAGTATGTAATCTTTGCCCGGACAGGATAAGGTTTATTTCGAAAGTCCCTCTGGCAGCTGGCTAAGGCTTGATTAGCACCATCACTACAGCCCAAGGGAAAGAAAAACAAACAGGAAACTTAAGCGCCTCACTACTTAAAATGATTAACATCTAAGAAAATGAAAATACTATCAACTTATTGTTTGAAGGGAGAGTTGAAGGTTCTTATTCCGAGGACACACCACTGATGCACAGGCTTTCCCTATGGCCCCTGGCAGGACCCTGGACACATGAGCCCTGACACCACGGTGTGCAGGAGGCAACAGCAAAGTTCTATCCATGGAGACCAGGGCAGCAGCCTCGGCTTCAGGGCAGAATCAGAGCTAACAGGGAGCTTTAAACACCTGTAGATGCCTAGACCTGCCCTCAATCAACTGAAGCAAAATGTCAAGGACATCTCCATTTTAAATAGCTGCACCGCAGGGAGGGGGCGACCTACCCCTGACAGTGAGCAGGGGCAGTAAACTGAGGCACAGACCTTAAATTTCCTTGGCTTACTCATGTGCTAAAAATCCTTTCATAACAAACATGTAAAACTAAAAAATACACACATCTAATTCACAGACATGCTACTAAATACTTGTGGGCTTCGAGAATCTTTAAAGAAAGAAAGATGTGGTAGCATAAATTGCTTAGTTATCAGTTTGGTGAAGGCTCCAAAACTTATTTTTCAAAGATTCTTTTTGACAAGATGAAAAAACACAACGGCATCACTGAGCCAGGACCACTTTACAAACCTTTAAAAGAACTGAGTCATTTTGACTAAATAGCATGTTTAGTCTGAAACTTTAGGTGGCCCACAAAAAGAACACTCAAACAGACCCAAATTAAAACAAGACGTTTCTACTCAGCTACAAAATACACAGTAACAAAAGAATAATCTTATTTCATTACAGATTCAGATTTGAAGTGTTTTCGAAAGTTTCCCAAGAGAAGCTGAAATCAGTAATAATTTAAGAAACACACACTTACTTTTGGTGGTCATAATGGATTTGTCCATTGTTGCCTATAATTACTATAGCAGGATTATTTTTCTAAAAAATAAAGAAAATGTATTTGTTTTAAAGTCCTTCAATTAAAAAATTTCATTTTGGAAGTGCTGTGAGGTCTCTTACATACCTAAATTTCCAGGACTCAAAATTTTAAAACAACACGAGATGTCTACTTATTTCGAAGAAGTTTAGTAAATTACAATCATTCAAAAATAGTCACTTAATACTTCAGAAAAGTCCAATGTAATCTATACCTGAACCATCAACCTGAACATCTACTTGAGAACACACTGAGGACGTGCAAGTGTGGCTTAGTCACAGGACTAAGGTGGCCTCAACATGCAGGGAGCATTCATGTTCTCCTTTAAATTGCTAACTACGAAAACTCAGAAACAGTGAGCTCCAACAAAGATCATTAATTGTTTGGCTGCCAAAGTGAAGGTAATGGTCTCAGTAAAAGAGTATTTTTTTTTTTTTAAAGATTTATTTATTTGTGCATACAGAACTGGGGTACAGGCCAGAGATTCAGGGGTGGCGAAAGACTTCACCAGAGACAGAGTGGGGAGCAGAACAGGCAGATCAATGAAGTACACTGCTGAGGGGAGCAGCGGGCGGGTCAGGAGAGGTCTGCCACGCCATGTGGTCACCTCTGGGGCAGGCGGGAATCGAACTCATGAGGAAGTGGTTTCAGGTTCTTAGTGCTGTGCTTTAACCCGCTGCGCCATCAGGGAGGGCCGAGTATTTTGTTTTTAACTCAGAGAAATTGTCAGAGCAAACAAATTATTAACATATGAGAAGATGTTAATATGTGAGCTAACAGTAGCAAACAAAGCACATTGGTATTTTCTTGAAAACAAACTCTTCAAAATATGATTAGTTTCAGTGCCTATATATGGAAAAGAATCATGTTTATCTGTCAGAATTCCTAAGCTTACACAAGGTGGTGGTGAGGCAGGGGTGTCATCGCAAAGTTCTGAGTTAGGGTTTCATTATGACCTCAAGTATATGTAAAGCATGTAGTCATGCTTTAAATCTATAAAAACCCCAGCAATATAAAGACCAACCAACAAAATGAATCTATAGGCTGATGGGTTCTCTACAATTAAGCTGACAAAAGTGTTAAGTCACTTATATTCCTTACAAATTAACTTTGTTAGCAGATATACAAAAGCAGCTAACAACAAATATACCTTTCCGTCATTGTCAAAAGAATCAAAAAATATTCCAACACCATTCCACATATCAGCAGATCCAAACACAGGACCTTCCAAGCCTTGAGTTTCTGTATACCAAACGGCCTGTAAATACACAAAAGGAAACATTTAGAGCCCAGAGATGTATGTGCATTTATGCTGTTTTCTTAAGTCAAAGAAATGATTATACCAGGCCATCAGCCCCAATTCGACCTCTTCCTGTCACTCGAAAAGTGACCTCAATTTCCCAGTTCTCGAAGGCTGCTTTTGTTTTTGTCCAAACTGATCCTCTTTGGCTTTTTAAAGATGGCGCTATTCGTATTTGATCTGAACTTGGAATAGCATCTATAACACAAATCAAGGAAGAAAAGCTTTAAGTTATAATTAGGTAAAACTCAATGAACCACTGCCAAACTGTTACACATACCTATAGATGTAAAATTTTAACTTTGTAAGCCGTAGAATAATTGTTATGAAAAAACATTATGGCAACAGTTTCAACACTGAAATTTTTAGGGCTTTTGATCAAGTTCCCTTATCTTCTGAATAGTAAAACATTCCTGCAATAAAACAAAGAAATAAACAAAGCTACAATCATACACTAAAAATTCAAGGGGAGAAAGGAGGAAATTATGATTAAAAAGCAAACCAACCATTGGATTCTCAAAATATCCTCTTTCATGAAGTTGTTGCATGTTATTTTTTAAAAATGCAATGTTTTTTCTCAGTGTACAAGTGTTAAGAAAGCTCAGAGTGTCAAAAGAACATACCACAAGGGATCAAGAGATTTATTTCTAGTCTCAGTTCAGTTGTGTGGTTTTGTGCAAATAATTCTATTAGTGGGGTTCACCATATGTTCACCCGTAAAATGATTGTTTGTTGTGATCACTTCCATACATGCCAAAAGTTACACGCAAAAGCTTGTGTATATATATTCTTCCCAGGAGAAGGTCAACTGAATTTCTGGTCAATTTCAGTATGAGCAGATTCTCAGAAAAGAATGATCCCCCAAAATGGTAGTTTGTATTTCTTCCTCCAAGATAGGTTCAAGTCCCAAATACACCATTTACTGGCTCTTTGATCCTAGACAAGTTACTCCAGTTCTGATAACCTCATAAGTTCATGATAACCTCCTAAGTTCTTACATAAAGGCATATAAATATCTGAATGTTAGCCTTCCTAATATTGAACTAGATAATTATTAAAGCACTTATCTGGCCTAAATTTGAACAGCTTTAGCATGCCTTCTCAGGTATTAACCTGTTCTGACATTCATGCTGTGAAATGACTATACTATCTTTTCCCAGGTAGAAAAATACATGAACAAAAAGACACTTTGGCAAGATCCTTATTTGTCACCATCACTTTCAACACGAAACGCTGGAGCCAGGCGTCCAGAAGAGTCAGGATACAGACTCAGAAGACCTGGATTCCAGTCCTGTCCTACACTAACTATGTCGCCTTTCTGAACATTGTCATCCAAAGACAAGTGATGCCTGTCTTATTAGCAAGGCTCAAATCAGAGAAGGCAGGCAATAAAGAGGGCTATAAACGATTACACATGGCTGTTATCATTTTTTGCCCTTATGGACCCAAGGATGTGTACTGACAGTACTAAAAGGGCATTAGAGTTAAGAAAAAGAAACACTGTATTTTCTTCATTTTGGGGTAAACCTAAAGTACTATTTGTAATTTTAAATCTCCCTACTCTAAAATTTATTTTAAGTAATGGATTTTGGGGCAAAATGAAAAGGAAAAAACTATGAATGAAGTTTAAAACTGTAAAAATCCCAATCACAAGGAAAGGAAGGCGCGCCACAGCTGCGATTCCCAGAGCCATCGGTAGGTAGCTAAAACACTCACTTCTTTACTTTAACCCCAGTTTAGCCATACAACTTTCATTCATCCAGGTACATTATCTGACTTGCCCCCCAGCAGATGCTTAACTGGCAACAAGCTCTGTAAAGAAATTTATGGTAACCAGTTTGAGTAACTGAATAAACATTCCTAATTGGTTCATACAATACAAGTGACAGAGAAGAGCAAGCGGGCAAGGAGATACAGAAGTCAAAAAAATTCATTATCACCACTAAAATCTATCATCACCACGAACAGAAAAAGTGAAGGTCCCCAAACTTGTGTCTGGTACAGCTTCATCATCTTTGCCTACATTACCTTGATTTAAAAAAAAAAAAAAAACAAGCCCAGTAATATACCCTTCTCAGAGGGCACATAATACATGTCTGCTGAGTAACAAAGTAATTGCACTGTACTTCAAATACTTAATGACTTGTTCATTAAGGCCAATTGAAATGTACACCTTTTAATTACACATTAATTTCAGTGAAATGGTCCTTCCCATTCAGTAATTACTTTCCAGGCATAGAATCTTTTGTCTACAAATCTTAAATAAATGATTGCTTAATTACACATACAGATGGAGTTCAAAATGTCACCCTATAGAAAGGCATTCCACACTTGTTTCTAAGGGTGTATCCCATGGTCACTGAACAGAGCTTACAGCAAGCCAAGTGCAAGGCTGATTCCTTAGTCAGCAGTGACACATCAGCACTAAAAAGTAGGTGCCTAGTTTCACATATGTAAATGGCTAACAAGGCTCTACTACCAACTAACAGTGACAAACACTCAGAATGAATAAAAATATAGAGCACAGGTTATTTCAACCCCTCAGAGTCCCCCCATAAAGGCTGTAGCTATGCTATTCTTCATCTCAGATTCAGAAACCACCACCAGAAACTATTTTCCTTCTACTAACTAAAGGGAATGTGATTATAAATCACATAATGTGTTAACACAGGAGAAAAGATCAAAGACCTCCACCAAGTCACCAGAGAGGCATATCTAAGGTGCAACTGAATTAGGTTAAGAATGTCCTCTGACATAAAGACTTAAATGAGTATATAACCACCATATGCCATCTCTGGGCATTAACCAAACTGAGCATTAACCACTGTTAGTACCTGAGAAGAGAAAGCCGGGAAGGGCCTAGGAAAGCCGACAAGAGTCTGGAGGGGCTGTCAGAGCAGTTATCAGGCTGGGAAGGAAGGGGGTGCGGGATGTTTCCCCAGCAGACCTGGAGTTGGGGTGAAACATGATGCCTACAAGCGGGTTTAAGGTAAGTGCGGGAAGTAACAAAACATCTCTAGATCAAACGGAAAGAAGCAAAGAGATCCAAGAAAGGGGCACATGAGGCGAGGGCGGACAGACAGAACAGGGGGCCAGACTTGTTGGCATGCGGTGGGAATCTTGGGTCCCCAGCCGGCTGCAGAAGGGCTGCTGAGAAGAGGCCCCTCACGGCGCACGCGGTGCACAGAGGGGAGGGGGTGGCCAGGGGTAGGCGCGAGGCGGGGAGGGACCCAGGCCCCCCGCCCTCGGCCCCGCTTACTCCCGGCGTGGGCCCAGAAGGGCACGTTCCCGTCGCTCTGCACCAGGTGCGGCCCCTTGAAGCTGTATTTATACTCGAAACGGCGATGCGGCGCCGCGGGAGGGGTGCCGGCGGCGCCGGCGGCCGCGGGGTCGCCTCCCGTGCCGTCGCCCCCGATGAAGCGACTGAGCGACAGCAGCAGGGCGCAGAAAAGCGGGCGAGCTCTGGTGCAGGGACCCCACCGCCTGGACCCCGCCATCTTGGATTCTGGGACGCGGAGGCCGGCGGGAGGGGGAGGGGCGCGGGAGCTGCGGACAGCCAACAGGGCGCTCGCTGATTGGCGGAGCCCGAGGGACCCCGGGGGCAAGGTTGAGCCCCGCCCCCGGCCTCCGCTACCCGGGAGGCCGGAGTCTCTGGAGCCTCTGTGGGCGGGGCCCCGCGCGAGGGGGCGGGGACTAGGGGAGGCGTCGGTCCGTAGGCTCCGCCTATCTTCTGCAGCGCGGGAAAGGGACTCCAGCTTCCCTTCCCACGTGACAGGGAGTGTTGGCGTTGTTGACCCCATGCCTAGACGCAGGAAACTTTTTCTCCTGCGTTTTTACTACCTTCAAGGTGGAATTCGTGACCCCTAACACATCAGCCTTTCCTGGCTAGCATGAAATTTCACACTATTTCTTGGAAGAAGAGTGTGCTTTGATAGTGTCATGGGTTGTCCAGTAACTGGTTTTCACTAGGTGTGATTTGAAGAAATTAGTTTTTTCCTGAAACAAGGTACAACCTTGAATACTAACAACCCCAAGCTGACTGAGCCCCACCAACCTGATCTGTCTGTGTTATGGCATCTGAAATTGGGAAGGAGCCATCATCAAGAACGCAGTGCCCATCATCAAGAACGCAGTGCCCCGGGTGCATTTGTTGGTGTTGAATCAGGAATTACTATGACTTTGTCAGCTTTTACCTCCAAAATTTAATCCCAAGAGTTTACAAAATTTGAAATCATAACAAAATCAAGTTTTGCATTCAAAATTTTGCACTCAAATGAATCTGAGTTTACTGTTGGTAAGATAGCTATGTACTATGGAGCCCTCAAAGGACCTGGACATTTAAAATAGTAACCCCCCCCAACCCTATACCTCTGGCCTGCGCCCTAGCTCTTATATGCATAAATAAACAAAATCTTTAAAAAAAAAAAAGAATTGTTTTGATTGCAATTTAGGTTAGGAAAGAGAAGGGGGGAAGGTGTCATAATTGATGCAGTATGCATTGGTAAACATTAATCTAGGTAGTGACACGTCACATGAGGGTTAGGGATCTATTAGCTTTTGAATAGCATCTGTGTACTTACATAGTGATGTGAAGATGCCTTTCGGGTCCTCCTATGTTTAGATAGAATCCATTTCAACCTTTATTATTATTATTTTTTTAATTTGGAATTCTACCAAAATGTACATGATGTAACAAGGAGGTCACCAGGAAAAGGGGAGGTTCCAGGTTCCCTGCCCCACCCAAAGGAGGGTAGAGCTGAGCAAGGAAGAAAAGAATCTGAAAGGACACTGGGGAGGAGGGAAGCAGATGGAGCCAGAAGGAGACCTGAGGGAGGCACACGGCAGAGACGTGTGAAGAGGCGGCTCTTGTTTCTTGGCCCAGCACTGGTTGAAGCATGTGGGTGAGGGATGTGGGGAGGTGACTATGGCAGCGTTTGTATTGATTTTGCTTTTGCTTTTTTCCTCCCAGACTTGTCTATGGGTCCCTGCCAGAAGGTGCTTTAGATTTGTGGCGGGCTTTTCGGGCCTTACTCTGGGCCACGCCCTTGTGAATAAACTTTTACTCACAAGGGGGTGGGTAAGTTGGGGTGTTTGGCTTAGAAACTATATTCTTTGTCTTTTCTGTATTGCACTCTAACTGTGTTAAATTTCCTTTCCATGAAAGATGTACATGTTTTGTCCTGATGCAGCACATGGCAGGTTCAATCTATTTAGAGCAGGCAGGCTTGGGGATTCAGGGGTGCCTCACACTGATACTTTAAAAAGCTTACTATAAAACAGAACTTTTTTTTTAAATACACATATGAAAAACTCAGCAATGATATTATCCTTTCTACCTCCTTTGGATAAGCATCGTCTTTTGTCCCTTTTACACACTGAAAGCACAGTGAAGTGAAAAGCAAAAAATAGGCAGGAGAACAGCAATTAAGAGAGAGAAAGAAATGTTTGGAGAGGGGAAGACCATCTGAACTATGATATCCTGCAGCATTTTGACCACAGAATAAATATTTGTCGCTATTGATTTCCCGATTCCAAATGACAAAGAACAGTCCAAGGGAGGTCAAACAAAACATTTCAACTGGGAATGAAAGTGAGCGCTAAGGGCAGGCTCAGCCTACATGGATGGGAACAATCATACCTCTTCACTGCCCGTTAAAGAAGAACTGAACACCAGCTTTCAGGGCTTTCTAATTCATATGCTAGAGACAAAGTCTTGGACACACATGGAATTCTGGGAGCAGAATTCAATGTAAAAACTCAGAAATCTCAGTATTCAATGTAAAAACTCGGAAATCTCAGTGGTCTTTAAGGCAATAATAAAAACTTCTAGTGACTGGCTAGTCCGGCATTTTTTTTTCTCATTCTTTCCAAGTGCTCCAAGTTGTGACAGCTGTGACAAATGATTCTGGAAAGAGTAGACCTACAGAAAGTCACATCCTCACTAGGCAAATAAAGGTTTCAAGCAATTTAGGTCAGAATTAGAGGTTGCTTCTGTTCCTCTCCCCAAAATGGTAAGCATATTGCTTCAAACTCTAATAACTTGGAGCCATGTATATTTTATTCAAATCTGGGCTGGGCTGAAATTGCCACTCTATCATGTGGGACAGTTTTGCTAAGCAAAAGTCAAAGCAACACATTAAATCTATCTCCAAAAGCAAACTTTCAGAGATTTCAGCTTATTAATTATTCAGAACAAATATGCTGATAATTATAGATTTGTTGACTCAGCTGTTAAAGCTGATCTTGGATGATTTCACCTGGATGCAGCATATAAGGAAACGGAGCAGATGAATAGACAAAACAAAATAAAAATAGGCCAGTGGACTTTGACAAAACTGCTACCAGAGAGGAAGAGGGGAGGGGGCGAGAACAGGGGTGTAGAGGGTCTAATGAATGGATCTATACCTGTCAGCCAAAACAGGGTCAGAAAATAAAAAGGTGTTTCCCAAAGCATGATCTTTTAGACACTGGTTCCAAAAGATGCTGCAAAGTACTATGAAAACAAGAATTTTGCAAGCAAGTTTGGGAGATGAAATCACATGCACACTGAAGTATCCAGAACTCGTAGAAGTTCTGTGGTGGTGAAGCCCAATTAATTTCGTTAAATATGACATATCCCAAGGTGGTTTGATCACTGAATCCTTTTTGCACAACCCTTATTAATATTCAACAGGATTTCCATCTTTGGGACACCCTTTAGGAAAGATTGCACAAAATTACTTTCAGATACAACAAAGGAATCTCAACTCCTCTGGTGACCACTGCAACATATCCCAAACTCTCTCTAAAAGCGATCTACTCTGATGGCGAATCTAAGAGCACACTAGTCATAGTCAAGTCCCTGTGTTCAACCCACACCCTGGTTAAGCTCTAAGCAAGTGCAATATGTCCATCTTCCTGTGGTTCATCTTCTCATTCCACTTTGCCGTCTACGATGGAACAAAGTGAGGACTGCAGGGTGTCTCTGCCTAACAGATGCTTACACATATTTGAAGGAATAGAATCACAGCATGCACAGCTTCATATGCCACAGTCAAGCATTGTGACTGAAGAGGATGTTAGCAATCCACTAGCAACTTTGAGAAATCCGAAAGAATGAGTTGAAGTGTCAGATCACCTGTGATTCTTACTTCTAAGATGATTTAATTCAGTTTCACTTCCTGAATACTTTCGGTGGATCTTCCTGAGATAGCAGGCTCTTCACTATTTGTCATCAGAGACCTTGGTGTTGTGAACTATTCATATTTCACATTTTAAGACAGGCTTTATCTTTCACTTCTGAAATTCTACACCATAGTTTCATATAGTCTAGATGAATGACCACCTCATAATGCTAAATGTAAGCTCTGCATGGCAGTGCTCTCTGGATCCCTGCACTTGCTCATATTTTATGCACTATAAAAAAACCATTTGGAGAGGCCCCTCATTAGGTGCATTCTGGAAGTCTCTCCATTCCACTAATCTCCCTTTGAGGCCTGTGTTAGAGGGGACACTCCACTGTTTGCTTTCTGTTTTTCAAAATACTTTCTTCAGTAGCTTGGTGGGTCCCAAATTGGTGCGTGTACACAGACACAAAAACACACACCTTGTAATTGTGTAAACTTGTAGAGTAAAAAACGGCGATTATGATAAAAATATGTACTGAAATTTAAAGCAGGCAAAAGGATACAGGTCTTGCACTAGAATGAAGCTGCTCAATATTGGCATAGTGAGTTGTCCTGAGAAGATTAAACCACAACTGGAAAAGCAATCGGAGGGACAGTGAGTGACAGGGGCTTTATGGGGGGACAGTGCCTCCCAGGGGAGAGTTCATCTTCTTACTCAAAGAGACGCCTTCAGGGATCATGTAACTTGAATTCCCTGTGAATTCAGTGTCATCTCAGCTCGACCAGCTCTGGAAGAACATATTAACCTCTGCTTGTGATTTTCAGAAAACCATTCTAATTTAGCAAGTAATTAAGGGTCACATGGAGGATAAAGAGCTCGATAATCTTGGATTACCCACAGGAAGCTTTGTCTCCAAGGCAACCCCCAGTGGAGGGGCTTTTAATGCGGTGGCCAGTCGGCTAATGAACTGGGAATGGTAACTGGCTCCCAGAACCATCAAGCCAGGAAATGGAAGTAACAACTATATTGCTACTGAATAATTTGATGATATTAAAGACTCCAAAGCCAGCAGAGGGAAAACATTTCGGGCCAGAATATAATTGTCACTGCTCTGCTCCACCGAACTGCAGCTCTAAAACTAGCTTATCTTGCATTCAAGCCATGCCACTCTTTATTGATGAATTTTACTCCCGTCTCCAGCTGAATCCTGGTCTCAGTGCTTCCTATGACCTAAATACCCCATGGCCTGGTTTCTCCAGAGGGGCACCTGGGTGTGCGTGCAGGCTGGGAGAGTGGCCCAAGGGACCTCTGGGAGAGAAGACAAAAGTGGGATTGTCCATTCAGGGTCTTTGGTATCCCATGCTGGACTAAAAAATTAAGATGGGGTTGC